AGCAAAGAATATCAATTATAACAAACGGAATGAAGCTAAATCTTTAAATCTTATATCTTAAACCTTCCTCCCCCATACAAAAAAAAAACGAACGAAAACGTCACACATTTTGTACTCGTCCCCCCCCCCCTCAGATCCCGCAGCCCCCAGGGTACTTCAACACCCAGCCCACCATCGTCTTCCTCCATGGTGGCACGTGGATGGCAGGCAGCGGTGGCGACGGCCTCTTCCAGCCCGACTACCTGATTGAGAGTGATGTCACGGTGGTCACCATTAACCACCGCCTTGGGCCCTTTGGTGAGTGTGTCAGCATGTCGTCTGTCAGTCATTTAGTGACACGAAAGGAAACCTGTACAGATATTTTACAAAAGTGTTTTTACTCGGACTCGATTGTCTGTTGCCCGGGACCTTCATCACAGCTTTTGGATGAATGTATGATATAAATAAATAAATAAATAAGTGTGTATTATATATATATATATATATATATATATATATATATATACATATCTTGTACATAATGTTAACCCTCAAGTGGTGATCTCAGTAAAGCCAGACCCTTCATCCCCTCAGGCTTCCTATCGACGGAGGACGCGGAAGGACCCGGCAACTACGGGATGCGAGACCAGATCCGCGCCCTCGAGTGGGTCCGGGACAACGTGCGCTACTTCGGGGGCATGAACGATTCCGTCACCATCATGGGTTCGGGCGCAGGGGGCATGAGCGCGCACTTGCTGGTCATGTCGCCGCTGTCTCGAGGGGCAACGATCCACCCGGACGACTTTTGTAAGTGTTGCTAGTGCGAGGCTGGTTGTGTTTGTACAAAATGGAAGATGAGTTTGTATACAGTATTTGTATACGTGCGTGTGTGTGTTTAAGTGTGTAAATGTATATCATCTATCTATCCATGTGTATGTGTATGTATATACGTTTATATGAATATATTTAGTTCTGAAAATTACATACAAAATGCAGATCCTCAATTCAGTGACATTTAATGTAAGTCGATCGTCTACATCTCATTTTTCTAGATATTTTTTTACTGCCATTTGTAAACTTTGGAATAGATTGCATTCAGAGATTGTAACTTCTCCACCTCTTAACAAGTTTAGAAGATCAGCTAACATGTTTTCACAACGTAAATAGCTGATCATTTTCTGTTTTCTCATTCTTTCTTAGCTGTATCTTGAGCTGCAGTAACCCCTTTAATGGTAGGAATATCGATTTTTCCATCGTGTGTTTTTACACGGATTACTATATTAACAACAATAAATACCCCATAACCCAACTGAGAACCACGGCGCTCCTCCAGCCCCTTCTGCACCGCGCCATCTCCCACAGCGGGACCGCCTACAGCCCGCACGCCATCTCGAGGGACGCCCGGGCTCAGGCGCTCAAGCTGGGCCTCAGGCTGGGCTGCCCGACGACGGCGGCGCAGAGCTGTCTGACCCAGGCGGAGAAGATCGTCGACCAGATCCCTATGCTGCACGTAAGGCCTCGCAGTTAACCATCTGAAATGTACACCCAGCACTCATGTATATATATATATATATATATATATATATATATATATATATATATATATATATATATATATATATATGTATATGCATATGTAATGTATAAAGTATGTGTGTGTGTGTGTGTGTGTGTGTGTGTGTGTGTGTGTGTGTGTGTGTGTGTGTGTGTGTGTGTGTGTGTGTGTGTGTGTGTGTGTGTGTGCGTGTGCGTACGTGTGTTAATGTGCTTCCATGCGTGTGTGAATAAGTGCGTGAGCGTGTCCAACCCAAGGCGACGCCCCTAATCCCCCCCCCCTCCGCCCCCCCTCCTGCAGGAGTGGGACGAGGAGCCCATGCCCTTCGGCCCCGTCATCGACACGTGGATGGGCAGCGACGCCTTCCTGCCCGACGAGCCCTTCCACCTCATCAAGCACCGGGACTTCCTGCAGGTGCCGTGGCTCGTGGGCACCAACAAGGAGGACGGCGCCTTCAGGGTTCAAGGTCAGTGGCAGAGCGAGACGAAGGTATGAGGGATAAGGTCAAGTTCGAAGGCAAGGTCAGGGATTAGGTGTGATGCGCGTGGATGTTGATACATAAGCAACGTAGATTATAAATGACTAATTTATTTGCGCTTTGTATTTTTACAAGCGGTGATACAATCGTATCCAGATGAATAAATTAACAATAGATAAATAAATAAGTAAATAAGTGAATGAATAGATAATTCATATATATATATAACTATATATATACATATATATTATATATATATAATATATAACTATATATAACTATATATATACATATATATATATATATATATATAACTATATATATATATATATACATATATATATATATATATATATATATATATATATATATATATATAAATATATGTATATATATATATATATATATATATATATATTATATATATATATATATATATAATATATATAATATTAATATGTATGCACATGAATAAATAAAAACTGACATTTTCCAAATGTACAGATATCCTGAAGGACCCCAGTTTAACTTACCAGCTGAACACCGAGTGGGATAAATATGGGCCCATCCTGCTCGACCTGAAGCCATCCTCGTGCAAGGACCCCGTCGACATGGCCAAACAGATCCGCAAATACTACCTTGGTAATAAGAAGTTCGGGGAAGAAACATCAAAGGAATTCGTTGAGGTAAAGAGAATTCTCCGAGAGGATTGGATACTCTTTCTGCCTGTCTCTCTTTCTCTCAGATGAGTTTTAAAATGCCAACCGTTAAATTAACGGAAAATAATACATTCTTATATTAAACAAATATATGAATAGATTGTCAATATCTGAATGATAAAAGAAGGAAATTAAGATTGATTACTAAATGTGTATAAATATATATGACTAAATTATTAATATCAAAATAGAAAAAAAACGAAAGCGGGATTGATTACTTTATGTCCAACCGGTACTTCCGCGTCCTTTCTTTTGACATGAAACCAATTTCCAAAAAATGCAGATGATGACAGACCGATTCTTCTTGTACCCAACGGACCGAGCTTCAAAGGATTATTCCTACTATGTCAAGAGGTTTATTGTTTATCGCTACGAACTCGTCTTCAGCGGTCGCAAGTCCTTCCTAGACATCCTGCACAAGGAGAACCCACAAGATGCTGCTAGTTCTTTCCTTGGTAAGTTTAAGTATAAGGGGGAAGCCTAGATCAGTAGCAACTCGAGGTGTCATGGCTGCTGTTTTGATGATTGTTCAATGGAAATATAACCATTAAAATCATTATTTTCCATCATTTTTGAAAATTGAAGAGACTAAAATAATCGACCATATTCACAAAGTATCCGTAACTTGTGACGTCATCAAAATATGCTTTTTCCAAAAATAGAATCAGACGCCATGATACCTCCTAGCTATTGATCCTTCCCCTTAATTATAACGCTAACCTATTGCAACTTTCTTTCTTCATAATCGAATCGTTATCCATTAGAACTGCATGGATATTGTAATTTTATTTATTTCATTATCAGATGGAAATGAAGGCCATGAGAATGTTAAAATCGTGAGCAAAGAGAAGAAAATTTCGTATCTTATCCAACGAAGAAAATGGAATTGATGAATGTTAGTTCCACTTTCTTCGTTGGATAAGACCTTCCCCCCTTTTTTATGATCTCTTTAAACTTTTTAGCTTAACTTTCGGGCTTATATACCTTCACCGTCACTGCTATTTTGGTATCATATAGATCAACCGTCACTGTTATTTTGCCTCACCGTTACTTTTAGTTTGCTTCTTCATTTAGCTTTACTGTTACAATCATTTGCTTCACCATTGGCATTTAGCTTTAACGTTAATATCCTTTTGCTTCACTATTACCAATTAGCTTCAACGTTACAACTATTTTGTTTCACCATTGGCATTTAGCTTCAACGTTGATATTATTTTGCTTAACTATTGCCGAATAGCTTCACCATTGCTATTTTGCTTTTCCATTGCCATTTAGCTTCACCATTACTCCTATTTTGCTTCACCATTGCCATTTAGCTTCACCGTTACTCCTATTTAGCTTCACCATTGCCATTTAGCTTCACCGTTACTCCTATTTAGCTTCATCATTGCCATTTAGCTTCACCGTTACTATTATCCTCACCGCCACTCTCGCCCCGCAGGCGCCTCCAACCCGAGATTCCAAAACACTCGCGGCGCGCACGGCTGGGGAGTCAGTTTCCTGGACGAGCTCCTGTACTTGTTCCCTTCCAGCAAACTCAACTTCGTTTACCAGCAGCAGTTTGATGGAGATTCCGCCTCGAAGGTGTCCACTCATATGCTTATGATGTGGACCAACTTCGTCAAGGGAAGGTAAGCAGCTGGGTTAAGTTGGATACGCGAAAAAATACATGGAATTTTCTCTTTGTGCGTGGCGAAGAATTACATTCAGTTGTAGGTCATCGCATTTATCTGGTTTTGTATTCGTAGATTTTTTCTGGATCAAGTAGGATACGCGGAAAATACAGCATTTTTTTGTGTGTGGCGAGGAATTGCATTCAGTTGTGCACTTCTACGTCATCGCATTCATCTGGTTTTGTATTCGTAGAAATAGTATTATTTCTCCAAGCAATTCTATCCTGAAAGCAAATCTAATACCTCTCGTGCCCCCAGCGACCCAACACCCATCCTCGAGGGCTGGCCCGATGACGTTTCCCCCTGGGGCGCGTGGTGGGAGCCCTTCGTCAAGGGTTACCTGTATTACCTGAGGATCGACCCGGAGATGGACAGCCAGGAGGTCCCCCTCAAGGAAGAACACATGGCGTTCTGGGACAGTCTTCCGCTCTTCGAAAACAGGGACCATAACGTCATTAGGGATGAGTTGTGAGGAGTGGCGTGAGGTCCGTCGGGTTGGGAGAGTTTTTATTTTCTTTCTTTTTGGGCACGTTAAAATTCCAGTTCCCAAGGCATGGAATGTTATTAAACAGAAAAAAAAGAATGCATTACAATCGAAATTCCTATGGAGATTTTTTCATTGTTCTTAAGTAGGAGGATATAATTACATTTTATTTATTTATTTATTTTTCTTTTGCTACCTGATGACTTTATGTACTAAGGAGTTTTTTGTGAAGGTAAACGGAGTTGAAGTGTACTTCGGTTTGGGAGAAAATGGATTTGTGGATTTGTTATATTTCGTTAATGTATGTGTGTGTGTGTGTGTGAATGGCTGAGGGTTTGTGTGTGCGTGCGCATCTAATATTTCTTGTTAATGCCACATCTTCTCGTCAAATCGATGCATACTTAAAGTTTTTTGGTAATGCTTGCAGTAAAATAAAATGTACATATGAAATAGCAATATTATTCATTACACCTTTTCCGTCGAAGATAATCTTTCACTAGAGAGAAAAAAATAACTAAAAACAAACGCTTAAAATATATTGTAGAAAAGGTATGAATGAGAATGAATATCTTCATATACAAAAGATGTTTTTGACCGGTTTCGAATATATCTTCGTCAGAAACACATATTTCTGGCGAAGATATATTCGAAATCGGTTTTAAACATCTCTTGTATGTGAAGATATTCATTCTCATTCATACCTTTTCTATTTTGTCACAATGTATACGGTTCATGCTTAAAAGAATATTAAAACGAATATGATTTTGTAAAAATAGGAAAGCTAGGAAACGCAGTGATTAAACTGAATCACATTTAAGATAAAAACTGACAATTATAGGGTAATATCGAAAACAGCATTAATAATAATGATAATAATAAGAGTACTGATATTAATTGTGATGATGATAATGTGATAATAATAATGACGATGAAATTGATGTCAATGATAATGATGATGATAACGACAAAAACTGATATTAATGATAATGATGAAGATGAAGATAATGATGATGATAATAACAACAATGATAATAATAATATTAATGATAATGGTAATGATTATAATACTGCTACTAATATTAATGGTAATAATAATGATCATAACAGCAATAATAAAAATAATAATGATGGTAATAACAAGTATTAATATTATCATTATCATAAAGAAGTAATAACAAAAATAATGATAATGGTAATAATAATGATAATAGTAATTATGATATTAATGACAATGATAATATTAATAAAGACAATAATGATAACACTGATGTTGATAATGATAATAAAATCAGAAATAACGGTAGCAATAAGAGTAGAAAAAACAGAAATAGTAACATAATGATAATAACGGCAATAGTAGAATAACGTGGTTAGATCTTGTTTATGTTAGAGTTCCCAACTTTTTTCTTCCTTTCTTTTCTTGGCTCCCGATCAATATATAAATATCTTCATGGCTCGTTCAGTGACTGTCGACTTTTCAGATTCATTCATTCATTGCTCGAACTCTTTAGCCAGCATGCTCATTTGGAAAAAAAAAGCAATGCAGCCATCTGTTATTGTTGTTTTTTTTCTGCTTTTCTGCTCGCACCACGTGTCCCTATCTTTCGGGATATGGTAAGCCTTCAGCTAACCATTGTGAAGGACGTCTGTGGTGTGTCTGCTTTGGTGTTTGTTTCAGTGTATCAGGTTAATGGGAATCCGCAGAACCTATAACGAGCTTATCCAATGAGTTTATCGAACTATTGAAGTGTTTTGACAAACAAACGTGTCACACCGGGAAAACTGAAGTACGACTGTATTTTGTTTTGATGTGCTGTCAGGAGTCCCTTAATTATCGAAAACTAAAATAATTAAAAATTGTGAACAAATCAATAATTGGTCGTTAAACAGCAGGCATCTTATGTAAAAACCCTAAAAAAAATCGCGTTTGAATTTGCGGATGTGTCTGGGGTTACATAATTATTTTATGCAAAAAGAATTTCTGTTGTACTTAAATGTGTAATTAAAACGTTAATTAGCAATACCGGACATTTTAGTGTCTTAAATTACATTTGCGTTCCTTTGAAAAAATGTTTTATCCATAGCATCAATGAAAATTTGTGTACTCCCCTTTTAAACAAGATCTTATCCGCAAGCCCGAGGAAAAATCACGTCTTTAGTTGTGGATAAAGTGTCTGTGGTCACAAAGATATGTTTTGCAAAAAGAATTTTTATTTTACTTGAAACTGTAATTAAAACGCCAATTGGTCGTCAATTCTTGGGCGTCTTTAATAGTAACCCCAGACATTTTCGTGTCTCATTTTACGTAACTTTAGGGTGATCCAAATGAAACTAACTTGAAACAGATGTTTTACTCGATATCTTTCTAACGAACTTTTGGGCCAACTTTAGGGCACCGTAGGGACAAAGCTCAGGGCTGTGCAACTTCAGACGCCCATCTCATTCATTGGCAGGTGATTTCTAAGAGAATTACGCCCTCAAACTTTTTGTAGTCAACATCTTGATGAAAGTCCAGCTATCTCTCCAACTAAATTACCGTTACAATAATTATGAAAAGAACGATAGAGATGCTTAGTGTCTCTTTGCATAGTGATGGTTTGATATAAGTGTTCTGGCTAATGTTTATCAAAAGACTCATACAGTTTATATAGACTAAAATACCAGGATTTTTCACTACGAACTCGTATCTCATCCGGTCAAAAGGTCAAGGGTCGATATATCAAAGTTCAGATATATCAAATCTGTTGTACATTTTACCTATTATCACGCACAAATATGTATAGATGATACTACTTGGCTTCAGCTTACATTTTGTGGTCTATAGAGGCTTTACTGGAACCATGACTGCGTGCGATTATTGTACGGTAAGCTAAGCTATAAAATAGTCGGTCAGTGAAAAAACGTCAAGACCATATTGTTTTGTGAAAAGTAAACCAATCGTAAATCTCTTACCATTTCTTCCCATATTTACGCATGCGCAATACTTCGCACCATGATTGACAGCATCACAATAAGAGTAACTGACAACCCAAAACAAACTAAGGAACACACCAACAGTCACTCCCACATTGCTACTGCTAACAGCAAAGCACAACTACTTATGCTAAATGTAACCACGATGTAACCATCAAAAGAATTAGAATACCATATATAAAGTGAAATATTAAAGCGAGAACCTAAAGGATCGGAACTATAGAAGAAAATCCTTTTGAACAACCTGGACGATTAGGTTTGTCTTTCGGTGTCCCTGATTCAAGGCCCTATCACACTAGCACTTTTTCCGTCAATTTCTGGGGTTCCGTCTGAATTTGAGGCTTTCCGCATAATTTCCGTGTTGATCTTGTCCCATTAATAAATTTGATAGGTTGAATGAATGTAAACATAAGCTAATATTTTAATGCATTCGTATATACAATATACATCATAATATTTCTATAAAATAACGTAATATGTATGAGAATGTTCGTGATTCCCGGGCCCTCACTCCGATAGCGCCATGTTTGTTTACATGATTGTCATACGGAGTTCATTCGGAAACGAAAAAAATTGACGGAAAAAGTGCTAGTGTGATAGGGCCTCGAAGATTCTGTACAAAACGAGGAGCAGAGTCGACATTAAGTAGCCAGGACTCTATATGTGGACAACCTTGACATGAATTCACTCTCTGGAGCTTGTCCACCCCCACGAGGAAAGGTAGCCAACGAACACGCGAGGAAATAATTTTTTCTTCTTTTCGAGTTAAAGAATCAGGAACAGAAGAAACAAGAATTTCGTTCGTAAGATTCATAACCCAGGCTCGGTAGATGCTCTAAGGAATCTGACACCAGTCCCCAACGAGGCGAGGGGAAGGAAGAAGTCTGTCTGTTATAATTACAGCGCCGTGGTGATCAAGGAACCTCGAGTGACTAGCAAAAGAAGACGCAGAGGTCAGCGGTAAGTCGTCGAAGTACCCCTTTACTGCCACAGGGCTCTGGCTTACTCCATCGAGAACATGCTCTCCTCACACTCCGCTCCTCCCTTGCACGTGGCACTCAGAGGATATAACCAGCTCTTCTATCTTCCTTGTTCTCTACCGCCAGATCCCTCCACAAGTCGGAACGGGGGGGGGGGGGGGGGGTCAGGAATTCACACCGGGAAGGAAGCCTACATGAAGGAGAATGAACCTACTGATGGCCAATTTTAAGGGCTGGGGAATACGGAAAGTTATTGATACTTTTAAAAATCTTATATCGGTGTAGGCATGTAAGCATTCATTTATTCGAAAACCACTACTAGTTCTTATTATGGGGAAATGTCCGATGAAATCATGACGCTGTTCCTCTCTTGAAATAATCCCGATAAAAAAAACTCTTCGTAAATATAAATATGTCAGCATACAACCTACGAATCCATATATATATATTTTTAAAGAATTTCAAGACGGCCACTTGACTCAGTGAACGAGAGCATCCTGTAAGTCAAAAGCTTGGACATGCGGAATTTCTTCAGAGACAAACCTTCTGTTAAGTGTGTCATGTTATCTCTGAAAATGTTTTTCTTGATCAAATTCAAATACAAGTTTGTTTCGCCCAACAATAAGAGTATTGTCTCGAGCGCTGCTATGTAATCATGTTGTTTATAAATATTTATTACTTTTTTCATTATTTTTTGCTTATGTCCATCTGATTTTAACCTAGACTTTAAAGCAAGTAAAAGGGTTTGCAATATTTAGTTGCCAAGGAAACTGACTCCAGGTGTTATTACGAGAAAGGATTGTTCACTCTCAATAGGCTATGTCACTTCACAACATTACAATACAGAATTATAAATGTAGCTGTATAACGACTGGCAAATCTGCGTTTGAATTTGATAATGGTATTGATGAAATAAAATCAGGAAATGCACAGAAGCGGATACACGTTTAAGGACTGAAAACAAAAATAAAACTGGAAGTGATTCATTTACTCAAAACTAGAAATTAGCAAAGACAGTGGACAACGAATGTACATCGACCTCTGGGATAAGGAATTCTTTGTAAGTTTAGATTTCGTAAAGGCAGTTTAACCGGATTCAGTGTCAGAAACTAGTGATAATATTTTGGAAAATTGGGTTCAAGTAGAGAGAATATTGATCAATGTCCGAATTAAACCGTATGCGCACGAATGACGAATGAAGAAAGGAATAATAGTGAGAGGAGAGAGACAAAGATGTTCCTTATACCCCGTTCTGGTAGTATTTACGGAGACTAAACTAAGAGAAATAATAAGAGACGTAATTCTATATATATAACTTAAAAATGGAGCATTAGGAATTGTAAATAAAGATTACTCAGGATGCATAGTAACCTTTACTGGGATATTAAGAACAAGACAACAATGAGGAAGACATTGGACTAACATTGAAGAAAACGTGACCGATAATATAAATAGGATAGTCGAGGTCGTGTTGCACTCCTTGGAACAGAAATGTGGGCATTTAGAACACGGATACGGATGAAAATGAGCTTTGAAATATAAGCAAGAACAATGAAAATATACATGAGAGAGTGCAGGAACAAGATTTTTTTTACAGCAAGTTGCACTGACGAATCAAAAACATTTAATAATTTAATAACATAGAGGGGAAAAATTATCGTAGATATTTAAACACAGAAATGAGGACAGTCGACCAAAGATGAAGAAAACGAAAGTCATGGCTGAATGATGTAAGCACTGCAAAGAAAGAAAAGAAAAACACTTTAACGTATTAGGTACTGAAGAGACCACCACGAGATGCAGAAAATGTTGCAGAACAGATGCACGAGAGCCAGAGTACAGACGAAGAGCACACTGCTCATGGCGGGTACAGTAACCAAGTCATGTACAGGGTGCCGACGCTCATCTCGTTACGTAACAGGTGCAGTTATGGTCACAAGGGCGAAGTTGTATCGTCATGGCGACTGTGCAAGTCATGGAAGTCTAAATTATGACTTGACTCGCTGTCCAAGAACTTCGTCCTGTCGATTACACATTACGTGTTCAGGTTTCATTACCTTGTTATAGTAATTTCAGGTGCGTGTTGTGTGTGTGTGTGTGTGTATATATATATATATATATATATATATATATATATATATATATATATATGTATATATATGTATATATATTATATATATATATATATATTTGCACACACACACACACACACACACACACACACACACACACATATATATATAATATATATATATATATATATACATATACATATATATATATATATATATATATATATATGTATGTATGCACACACACACACACACACACACACACACACACACACACACACACACATATATATATATATATATATAATATATATATATATATATATATATATATATATGTACAAATACACACACATATAAACATATATATAGGCCTATACAAATACATATATATATACTATATATATATATATATATATATATATATATATATATATATATATAAACACACACACATAACGCATATGTATGTGCATGATTAGATGGATTAAAGGCATAGATGAAGGTAGATATTGGAGGCAGATAAAAAAAAATATGAAAGCTTGTTCACAGGACAATAGCATCAATTATGGCCTACATCGACGTTGTTTTTTATGCATTTCCTATTTCATCTTTAAGCCTTACCTATAACCTAACCTATCAATTTTGACTATAATAATTTTGGCTTATTGGTCATAGTAAGGGCAAAAAAAAAAAAAAACATGCATTTTAAATCTACTCTCAACATATTCTATAACCATATTCACCATTAATAACTGACAATAAGTACACAACTTTGATGATGCAATATCCAAACGGATGGTAGGTATCTTGCACTAAGATTTTTTTCTGTTTGAGCTTGTTCTTGTAATTTCCTCCAAGGATTTTTTGTTTTCTTTCGTCAGACAACGAAAAAAATATTAAGTATTTTCTTTTTTCCTTGTATTATCTTTGTGGTTACTGTAACAATAGATTTCTTTTACTGCTAGACGTAATTAGGTATCTCCTTTATTCTTACCTTTAGCCACCATTACGGGAATAAAATGTATCTTGTATTTGGTACTGCTTAAATTATTTTATATATGGTGTACTCTCGCTAGATCATCAACCTGCTAATACGCAAATACATAAATACATTTTTTTTCTTTGGGTTTATGTGTATGGTTCTATGGTTGCTGATCAAACATTCAAAGAAGGGGTAACCTGCTACCGTATTCTGTCGACTACCTTGTTTATTCAGCAAATTATGACATTGCTCTCATGAACTGCAAGTCATAGTAACAAGGGAACACCTAATTTACTGAGTAGCTTATCTTGTAGAAATTTTAACTATTCACACGCACTTTATAAGTATTCTGGAGAAAACTGTAATACTTTTAAGTTGGGTGATGTTATACACATTAGATCAGTAGTAACACACGCACAGCTAAACCGAATTTACATTGTTAGCTTAATTATTCACATTCATATGCGTCCTGCACTACTGATGGCAGCGCAGTTTATCATCCTCCCCTGGATCTACTACGGACTGTGAATCAGACTCTCATGTACCCCCTTAGTTACACCACTGTGTACGCACGCACGCACGCACACGCGCACACACACACACACAAACACACACACACACACACACACACACACACACACACACACATATATATATATATATATATATATATATATATGTATATATATATATATATATATATATATATATATATATATTTGTATGTATACATATTGTTACTGTTATTGCTACAATTACCGTCATTAGCGTTGCCATTTCTATTGTCAAAACTAACTCTAAGGGCATTTCGCATATAAACTGTGGATATATGTTGTTTACACTAACTAAAGTAATGCATGTGCCAGAATTTTATTTAGGCTTCTGTTACCAACAAGCCATTGCATACACATTGTAATCCTTGGAGGTTTGGCCGCGCACATTTGGACTTTGGGGACGCCAATGTCCGAACCTTGACCATCCTGTGCGCTTCTAGGCAACTGCATATTAATGATGATGATGATATTAGTGATTATCATAACACTATTATGATTATTTGTGATGGCCCTTGTAGTATCAGTAGCCCTGCAAGCGTCATAGTTATCAGCGATATCATCATTACCATGACAATCAGCTTCGTTATAATAAACATTGTTGAGTGTGTTTGTCTTTCCGACAATACACCGAAATCTAAAGAACAAAAGAGTCCAACTTGGAACCCAGTGGTATGTCGTCCTCAACCAAATGCTACGGACAGCACGAAGATTGTTTTATGGCAAAGAATACTTGCAAACTGAGAAATGGGAGTTGGCAATGCATGTAGAGAGGGACTCCCGTGCATAGTTTTGTGGACACTCGCAGATTTTTTTTATAATCTTTGAGGACATACAAATACAATTTGAAGTTACATTTATCGGGTCTGTTAGTTTGATCTCCGTTATCTATCGTTTTTTGTATTTCGTTGAATATTGAAAATTGGTACCGCGATTCATGAATAACTACCTTCATAGTCGAACATTCTGTAAGGTTTTCGTGTGTTGCTATTCATAATGTACACTATGGGCTCAACGTTACTCAACATCAGCAACAGACCTTTCAGCTGTTGTGTCTTGAATTATCTGTAATCAAAACTTGCAGGCTGATAGGTGATAATGATAACCCAATGCAGGCCTGCTCAGCACTCGACAAGCACTGACTGATGACTGCATATTTATTTTTATCAATACCTTACACATCTGGCAAAGCTAGGTCCAGTCTAATCACTTGAAATTAAGAAACTCTTCTTCGTTTCCGTCATCACTAATAAAAGATGAAACACGGCCAGTGTCACCACTTAACGTTTATATACACATACTTGGGAAATGCATGTTCTCAGAGTAGGCCTCATGCTAAGTACACGTGTACCCGATCAGATATATTTACTTCTAAACAAACATCATTAACAGCAAAACATCTACATATTATGCATGGACCATCAACTGAAAACTTTAGCATATTCTTGGCTTGGCAGGTCGGGTCTTTTCATATATTTAACTCTGATCATCAGGTGGTTGCTAACATTAGGCTTAGGTTAGGATAGGTTAGACTACTTTAGATTGTTAGTCCGTACCACATTTTTGTCATAAATGCTACCACGTGCATAATATATATATAGTTTGTGGCTTGCTAGATGTCAGTTATCATTTCAGATGCACGACGTCAATTAACTACTAACTTCAATCAAATATATTGCCATAGTAGTTAGTAAAGTACACTACAAGCAATCATTAACATCAATATGAGAAGCAAGCCTAAATCACCAAGTAAACAAAACTTGCAACCTTGCCAAAGGTGAAGATGCAATTATACCAGGAGGCTAAATTTTAAACCAGTTGCTGGGTTTGAGGTGCTCCATGTTAGGTGGGATGCATTGGCTACAGCAAAGATAAAACTTGAATAATGCAATAGGCTGGATTAAATACTGGTTGATGAAGAACGCAAGAGCAAGCGTAACAGCTGAAATTTACGCATTAACTCGTGGATAAGTGAAGAAATTTCTCATAAGATGCGTATGAAACATTTTTTCTTGTCCGTGAACTTGGCGCAAACTTCTCGTACCATTACGCTGTTACCAGGATCTTTACTGAGTACATCAAACGCCCATTTTCATTGCATCCTTGCTTGCATCGCGTGTTAAGAGTAAGTTATTATTTATTCGGCGTCACCCCACCCGCGAATGCGACTGAAATAACTCGGTGTATTGTTGAAGTTATGTAACCTCCACTTGAGGAGAATCCCTGCCAAGTAGAATTCTCCCCCGCATCCCTTCGTCCCTGGTAACCCAAGATCCCTCCCCAGCAACCCATACGCCCCCTTCGACAACCCAAACTCCCTCCCTCTCCCGCGCACAGTTCTCCGTCCAAGTCCTCTCCCCGCCCACCACCAGCCCTCCCTCCCTCGCCTCTCCCCGACCCGTTCCCCACCATCCGCCAGCCCCTCTCCCCACCCTCCCTCCACCCACTCCAGACCTTATCCCCATCCTCCACGAACCCCACTCCCCACCCCGGCCAACCCCCCCTGTGCGCACGTGGGCCAACTGGCAGACTGCGCGCCAGTGTGACACAGCAAGGGAAGCGAGTGGTAGTGTCGAGCGCGGGCCCGTCCCTTCTTTGTGCTGTGTTCATTTCAGTGACCCGAGTAGTGTACAGTTTTCGTTACAGGTGAATACAGAAATTGATTGTGGAAAAAATTGCCATATAACGAGATTTAAATTCCCCAGTAAATTAAATATATTCACAAATCTTTTGGGCAACACCTCTTGGGTTTGTGTTGATAGCTTTGGCATTCGTTCATCTGGTTTGGTACAAGCAACGTCCGTCCCCATTCCAAATTATGTTAATTGATTGCAGTTGGCATGCATGGTTTGGTTCATTTGCATTTATTTTCTCGTCCTACAGTTGATCGGCCTGAGAAAAGTGCCTGTCTTTAAGAAGAATAGTGAAGGAGAACGTAGCAACCGGACCCCCGCGTATGCCTGTTATGCTCGTGAATGAGAGTGTGGGAATCACGCCAGAAAGCTTATTGTGGGTGTAACTAAGGGAGGGGGAGATGCGTTAGTTCAGAGGGGGTGAGAGTGAGAGGGCAGCGTGGTAAGCAGAGAGATTGGAAGAGAGGAGGGTGATAAAAGAGAGGGAGAGAGAACGTGCGTAGATGGTCTGTTGTCGGGAGAGCAGTTGCCATTTGTTACTTTATGAGTAAATATGCTTGTGTTTGGATCTAACGAGACGTGCGTGTTATTTTCACGGTCACCTGCTGTCAGTTTCTTGAGCGTCTAGCGTGTAAGGAAGTGAATGGCTGAGGAATATCTGTCATGGCTTTCATTAAATAATTGCAGAAAGATAGTGAAGGGGTTGTAAATGAATATTTTTGGTTAAATTTAACTGATAGTGCATTGCACAATAGGATTCAATTAACTTTCATCACAACAGGGGTAACTTATAACGAACGTCACTCAGCGAATTTTATAGTTTGTCCGGGTTCATGAGATTTATAAATTTTGTCGTGTTTAGATGCAAGAGCAGTGTGAAGAGGACAAGACCGCTAGCTAGTGGGTGTGCGGGCGCGTAGGTCTAGGTAGGTGGGTACGTGGCGGGCGTGCAAGATGACTGAGCGAAGAGTGTTCGAGTGCCTGTGCTTGGAGCCCAGCAAGGGGGGCTACAGCTACGACTCCGCACTGTTAGTCGATGTTGACCGCGCTTTCGACTTTGACGAAGCTGTAATCCGGTTAACAACCAAATGCAACTCCATCGTGACTCAGTTTCGCACCTTGGGTCACCATTTCTCTGAGTTCTCCGTCGCCGCCTCCAAGGTAGACGGAAGCAAGGCAGACTCACCCAACACGGGAAACAGACGGGGCAAGAATGACATAGACAGAATGCAGAGTCCCTCCGGAAACCCCGAGACTCGAAATCTGCGGCTCATGGACTTCGAGTGGCGACGCCTCAAGAAGAAGCACTACTCGGGAATGGTAGCTCTGGCTCGCGTCACCAGGTCCTCGATACCCAGAAACGGCTCGGGGGGAAGGTACTCCGTCAAAGCCTTCACGGAGGTGGTCCTGAGCCACATCCAGGCCTACTTCATGTTCCAGTCCTTCTGCCCGGAGTTTGAACGCTGGATGGTCGGGGAGGAAGGGACTCCGAGCTACGGGCCTGAGAGTGCCGATGACGAGTATCTGCTGTATCTCGTGTACCGTCTTCGGGATAAGAGTATCCCTGCTAAGCCCACTACACCCACATCGAGGAGGAAGTGGACGGAAGTGGACAGACTAGAATTTGGCTGGTATGTGATATTTTATACTGTATCCTCTCCTAAAACCAGATAGGAATGCTTGAAGAACTTACTAATATTATTAGTTTCGGGCAAGTTCCTGTCTAAAGAGCAGTCTGGCATATTAGTTTTCAGAAATGTAGAATTTTATGTTATTTTTCAAATCACATCATTGGGTAGTAATTCATTTATTTTTATATATTGTAAATTGAATATATGTTCAGGCTGTATCGGTTTTCATACTTAAAAAGTTCTGTTTGAGTGTTCACTACTATAAATTGGGGTGTACCCGAGGTTTCCCAGCTTAGGCTAGGTTAGGTCACTAGGAACATTGGTACGCATCCGTGAATAAGTTAGTCACTTACCGGCAATAATCAATCAAGGATGTTATAATTATAAATTACCATATCGGTAACTGCAATTCAACTGTTTTGGCCAGCTCTTTTCTTTTCTTAACTTCCGCACTACCGTTAAGAAGTTTAATTTTAGAAAGTATTTAACAGAGATCTTACACTCAAAAAAAATTATGACCACTATGGCTAGCAAACTTTATAAGCATGTTGAAATGTGCGAACGGATTATTTTTCGTCACATCTATAACTAATGTTAAACTGCGATCATACATGCATAGCAACATGAGGGGCAGCATGCTTTTTATACGCATGTTTGACCGTGTGAACGGGGTAATTGCTCCAAACATGCGTGACCAACATGCCGAACCGTTTTCTGTGTCAGGCCTCACGTTTATGGGCGGGGCCAACTTATCCACAAACGTTTGATCGTTTCAACGCGTACCAGTTTCATGTCACGCAGATCGTAGAACAGACAAAAATGCCGTCGGAGGCTCCATATTTCAGAGGAAATAGAGGCTACATCAGTAAAAAAAAAAAAAAAGTGTAAACATCTCCAGGCAGAATACACATGTGTAGAATGTCAACTCCAATGACAGTTCCAAAACGATTGCTAGGAATAAATTAGCATATGAATCTGTCAGAACTTGTGTTCGACTCGATCGCATGAAGACGAGCTAAGCCTTGTCTCGAGTTTCGTCACGTCTGCTCTTTATCTCTCCCTCTCTCTCTCTCTCTCTCTCTCTCTCTCTCTCTCTCTCTCTCTCTCTCTCTCTCTCTCTCTCTCTCTCTCTCTCTCTCTCTCTCTCTCTCTCTCTCTCTCTCTCTCTCTCTCTCTCTCCTCTCCCTCTCCCTCCCTCCCTCCCTCCCTCCCTCCCTCCCTCCTCTCCCTCTCCCTCTCCCTCTCCCCCTCCCTCTCCCTCTCCCTCCCTCTCCTCCCTCCTCCTCTCCCTCCCTCCCTCTTCTCTCTCTCTCTCTCTCTCTTCTCTCTCTCTCTCTCTCTCTCTCTCTCTCTCTCCTCTCTCTCTCTCTCTCTCTCTCTCTCTCCTCCCTCCCTCCCTCCCTCCCTCCCTCCCTCTCCTCCCTCCCTCCCTCCCTCCCTCCTCCCCCCCTCCCTCCCTCCTCCTCTTTCTCTCCTCCCCCCTCCCCTCCCTCTCACACATACTCCTTCACTTTCACTCATGAAACAGAGAGATCCACTTAAGGAGTCTGAATGCGTCTCTGAAACGGGGACATCACTAACTGTACAGAATTGGACTTAATAATGTATTGCTTCATCTGGGCAGACGATTTCCCGGATGGAGACAAGAGACCAAGTTAATTCAGTTAATTAACATGATGAGATGACGGGCGGGAAGGGGGTTAAAAATGTGAACAGAATGTGTAATGTGTGTAGGATGATGAAGTCAATATTAATTTCTGTTGTCAGCCGCGAAGAATTTGGTTTTAATTAATACCGAAACCAGACATTTAAAAGAAAAAGAGAGAGAGAAAAAAATATATATATAATATCAGACGCAGGGGTTCCAGACAATGTCACCGGATACTGTCATGTCAGTTGTAGTGTTTAGTGTTTTTGTAACTAGAGGCAAAGGTTATGAATGTTACCTTAGGGTCTTTTTTTTATGGGACTTCCCCCTAACCCCCCAAAAAGAATATATAAGCAGACAAATTTTATAATGATAACGAAAGGTGTTGAATATGACGAGCAAACTTACCATAAGTCCGAGTTTTCCCGTTTCTTCGTCGTTAGGCAGATGCACTTAGTACATACATATATACATATACGTATATACAAATGCATATATACATATATGCATATGCATAAACATGAACATATATGTACACACCCACACCCACACGTGCGCGCGCGCGCATATATATATATATATATATATATATATATATATATATATTATATATATATGTGTGTGTGTGTGTGTGTGTGTGTGTGTGTGTGTGTGTGTGTGTGTGTGTGTGTGTGTGTTCTGTGTGTCTGTGTGTCTGTATGCATGCGTGTGCGTGCATGCGTGCATGCGTATATATTGTATATATACATATATGTATATATGCTGTATATTTTGTGATATATATATGTGTGATATATACATATATATATATTATATATATATTGTATGCATATATTAATTATAGTACACATATATTACATCTTTTATATATATGCATATATGTATGTATGTATGTATGTACTTCTGTGCGTAAAATCACTGTCTGTATCATTGATGGCTATAAATATCCCATGTGCATTCAAGCTCAGTGCTGAGAAAGCAATATCCAGGCGGATGCTGTGCGCGGTTAGTCATTCCGGTATGTGAAAACGATGCTAATGATGGGTTAGGTTCATTGGTTGGTCCTAGCAAGTGATTTGAGTAGAACGTGCAGCGATATATATATGTGTGTGTGTGTGTGTGTGTGTGTGTGTGTGTGTGTGTGTGTGTGTGTGTGTGTGTGTGTGTGTGTGTGTGTGTGTGTGTGTGTGTGCGTGTGTGTGTGTGTTCCATATGTATATATATATATATATATATATATATATATATATATATATATATATATATATATATGTATATATATATGTATGTATATGTATATATATATATATATATATTTATTTATTTATATATGTATATGTACCCTATGCATGTATGTATGTGTATATAACACATGCACATATACAGATACACACATATATAAACATAGTTACATAAACATACATATATGTACACACACATTTAAGTGTATTTATATATATGTATATGTATATATATATATATAATATATAATATATATATGTAAATGTATAGCCTATATGCTATATACATACAGAAATGTGTATATATACATATACATACATATATAGCGCGCGCACACACACACACACACGCACATACATACATACGCACACGCACACGCACACGCACACCCACACCA